CGGGCTGCATGAGCATCCCCTTCCCACCTCTGCCCTGCTGCAGCAGCTTGTGCTGCCCCGTGCCGCGGCCACTGCCAGGAGCGAGGAGCATCGGGGGGCTCGGTGTCACACCGGTGTCCCCATCCCATGTCCCCATCAAGCGTGCAGGGTGGGGTGCCCAGGTACCCTTCACGCAGCAGGGACAGCCCAAGCTGCGTGTCCCCCGATGCTCCCCACTGCAACGCCCGCGCAAAGGACCCGGCGAGCCGAGACCACAGCGCAAAGTGGGTTTCCAGCGGAGAACCGGCAGCCCTGGGGGCTGCAGCTTCCTTCCGCAGCACTGCCAGGCCCTGGGCTGTGGGAGTAACTCAGCAACAGGAGGAACCAAACCAAAATTAAGCTTTTTTTTTTTTAAAAAAAAAAGCCAATTGGCTTCCTGGGGATTAAAAGGCATTTGCTGCTACTTCCTGAAAGCTTGATATTAATGAAATACCACGAGAACCCTATGGACTCCAGATGAGGGGATAAAACCCAATTCTTTTGCTCTTATTCCCCAAGCACAGAGAAACCGGGTTGGTGAGGTGGATGTGTTGACAGAGTACACTCGGACTCTTTACATTTGCTGTTTGTTTTAATGCCATATGACTGAATGGAAAAAAATAGCATTATACAATACGCATCAGAGCAGGATTAGAAAAGCCTTAGAAAAGGTCTTACAGGGAACAGGGAAGCCCCCTGTGAATGAGGCCCACCGGTACGGGCTCTGCGAGAGGCTGGGCCCGGGGAGGGGAAGGTGCAGGAGTGGAGCCAGCACCGTCCATCTGTCCATCTGCCGGCAGGGACCGAGCGGCGCTCCCCGGCCCCGCAGGCACCCGGCTGAAGCAATTCCAGGCCAACGCGACAGGAGACAAGCTGAAGGCTACTTGCCCAGTTGGTGTTATAATTTACTCTAACCCAATGCTTGGTGGGTGAAAGGGCTGTTAATTACCCAGAACAGGCAGGGAGGCAATGACAGGCTTGAGTTAATTGATAGAGGAAACCATTCGTATCCTCTGGATCCTTTCCTTCCTCCTCCCAGCTCACCAGCAGCAGTGGCATGTCCTGCAGGATAACTGGGGCTGCCTGCAGAGGGGACATCTCTACCCCAACATGCCTGCCTACCTGTTTCCCTCTCCTCTCCGACTCCTGCTCCACGTTTTGTAAATGGGAGCAGCCGGGTCCGTGCAACCCCCAGCCCGTGCCAGACGGCCGCATCCCTCTGCACGCCGCATCCTCCTGGGACGCTTGGGCAGATGGAGGGGCCATGGGGCTGCACAGCGGAGCCCCAAGGAGCTGCGAATTGCCCATGATGTTTATTTTACAGGCTGCAAAACATTTTGTAGAGGGTTCATTTATACAGGCACTGTTTAAAGTAGCTTTTATTCAAAAAATAGCCTTCTCTCATTTACATATCCTACAGACAGTCTGGCGGGGCTCTTGCAGGAGCCCCACCTGCAGCTCCCCAGCTCCGCTACCCCCTGCACTTGCACTGCCGGATGGCAACAACTGTGCGAACACGGTCTCGGCGGCTCCTGAACGTGTGTACGTCGTACCGGTGAGGGGCGCAGCGGCTGGAGGCTGCTTCTGCCCAAACCAGACATTTCTCTCCGCCTTGTGACTCCCTGCAGTTAGAGACAAACCCAGTACATCCCCTGGCATCCCACACCCCGGGGCCCTGCGTTTCATCACCTGGAAAAAGGGCAGATGCCCCGGACCAGGGTGGGGGAGAAGGGAGGCATCGGATGCTCCTTTCTTTTTTCAACAGATAGTAAGGCATCTATTCCTTACTCCTGGTGTAACTCAGTGAACTGTCTCCTCCCTCTCTGCCTGTGCAAAGCAGGGGTAATTTCTTTCTTTGTGGTTTGATTTGCTTCCCTTTGCATTCGCCACATTTTTGTATCTGCAGGCAACACAAAGTGCTGCCCCCCAGCCTGAAACAACTGTCTGGACCCACCCTGCCCCAGAGCATCCCCCTCCTCCTCCTCCTGCCCCACGGCATTACCAGCAGGCGGCGGGGGCAGGAATGGCACATCCCAGGCTGAAGAAAGCCACTGTCAGGACCCATCTGTGTCTGCTATCGTGGGGGACCACAAGCTCTATTAACCAGCTGCCCAGTGGGCCAAATTCAGTACCATCATCGGCTGGTTGTTCTTTACCCCTTGAAGGAACGGAGCAGTGTGCTGCTGTAGCACCACTGCAAACACTGCTCTGCTTCAGCTTTGTCCCTACGCGGTTAGACGCAGCCCAGAGGGTGAGCTGTGGGTGCTACCCAAAATCCACTCCTGTGTTACCCTCCCAGGTCCTGCCCCGGGAACAGCAGATGCATTCACTGAGAGGAATGGGAACAGCTCAAACCTGCCTCGGAATGTGCGCGGATGTGCCAGGGAACCAGAACAGCCAGATCCTGGCAGCTGTGCTTACCTAAGCAAGCAGGGATCCCCCGAGGAGCAGCTGCCCAAGCACCTTCCCACATCAATTTCCTGCAAAGATTTGCAAAACAAAGGCATGAAATTCCCCTGCAGCACCTCGCTGGGGACACCCCAGGGGACCGGCCGGCGGTCACTGCACCCTCCGTCCGCCCTCCATCCTCAGGCTGAACACACACCCCTGAGAAAGGGCAGCAGCGAGGCAAAGCTTGTAAGGGGAACTATTTTGGGGGCATACCAGTGGTTTTTTGAGTCAGAGGTCCCTGGGCACAACGGTATGTTGAAGTAGAGTCTCCACTGAACTGAGCTTAAGACATACTTAACAATTAAATAATTTTTAAAATAAATATCTCACTGCTCCCTTAATTGTTTTTTAAAGAAATCCTCACCCTAAAGAAAAGGCCATTTGTTACTTTATGGCACTGATACATACACAAATTAGCAGCAGTAAAACACATTTTATAGCATAAATGTGAGATTTTTACCACTATAGTTGCCAGGGTGTGCTTAGCTCTACCAGGGTGAAGCTGCCCATGTCAGAGCATCCACCTGGCTGTTCAAACCCCACGTGTGGGCCCAGCGGCACAGCTGAGCCCACCAGAGAGGAGGCCGAGCCACAGGAAACCAACCTTGAGCCGTTCCTCCCTGTGTCCCGCAGAGGTGTGCACGATTTCATAGTAATATTCCACCTGGGAAACGCGATAGCATTTTTCCTTCATTTCGCAGTTCTCCAGCGTCCAAACCACCTCCCCACCTTGTGGGTTTTTGACTAGAGCGGTGTTGAACTTTGTGGGCATGCAGAAAAGTCCATCTGCAAGGAAACAAGAAGGGAACTTAATCTGGGGTTGCATCCGAGGCCACTATGGCTGCAGCACCTTCACCACGGGTCTGCCGTGCGGCACGGACGCAGCGTCAGGCTCCGGCGTCCAGCACCTGGCGTGGAAAGTGCTGTTTTCTGTGTGAAGGTCCCCAGTTGAGAGTTTGGGGGTCATTCCTTCACCAGCTCAGGGCCTCAGCAATAGGTTTTGTTCCTCCATATCATTTTCAGACCACAGGGCAAAGGGAGGTTATTCTGGGTGCAAATTGTGAATCCTGCACCTGACCCTGTGAAAGCCCCATCTCTGGGGAGACAGCCTGAGCTATTACGCATTATCTTTGAGAAAAAAGGTCTTTGAACATAAAATATTCATGGCAGTGCTTTTTCAGAGACATGCTCTCACACCAGGGAGCTGGGGAACATTATTTAACATCTACTCATTCAGCATTTCTCTCTGGATTTGCCAGGGGGCTGTGCCCTGCACGGGCTTCTTGGATGCTGGAATCACTGTAGACAGCTCTCCCAGAGATATATTCCACCGGGCACCTCCAAAAGATTTGCTTTGGGCAGGGCTCTCAGCTCTCCATGCAAGCAGACAAGCTGGCCAGGGCTGAGGTGATGGAGGCAGCATCTCCCCATGTCAGCACAAGTTATTACATCTGCCCTACCCGCGTCGTGGGACAGAGGAAGGCTGGTACAAGAGGGGAGGAAAGGGGAGACAGGCAATGGCCCCGGTTCGGGGGGCACAGGACCAAGTCCTGCTTTGCCTTTTCTTTCCCTCTTCAAGCTTTAACTCAATGAACAATTCCCAGGGCAAAAAAAAGTTACGTTTGGATTTGACATACCTAGTCTGATTGTTAAGGAAGCCATGCAGAGAGCAGGGCGAAGGGGGGATTTGGGTGGACATGCCGAAAGCCCGCGTCTTCGCTGCCGTGTCACCTCCAGGCCAGGACATGCTGCCTCCGAGGCAGGTCCCAGCTGGCCCAGGCAGGGGCTCGGCAGCTCGAGAGGAGAGACAGAGGCTCCTCCAGCAGTAACTCATGTCCAGCTGGAAGGAAACAGGCACAGACTGTCCTGCCTGGCTCAGTTCTGCATAGAAAGAGACAGTTTATCTGCTAAACCTCCCAGCTTTTCTCTCCCTCACCAAGTAAATTAGGATTAAAATCTCCACTTCATGAGTTAGAGGAGGGGACGAAAGGTGGCTAAGATGATGGCTAAGTCAGTCTTGGGTTTTGGCTCTAAACAGGACCTAGTCCCAGCCCCTGGGTGCAGGTCCTTCAGGGTTTGTGTTTGGTTCCTGGCTTTAAAATGGTTGTGAAAGTTTCCTGCTGCCTCCCAGCTACTTCATCAGCTGCTGGAGGAGATTTCTTTGTTCCAGGATGGGGCTGTGTTTTCAGGGAGGGGAAAAGTGTTTTCTGAAAGCAAATCTCTCTGGGATGCCTTAAGAGGGGGACACAAGATGACAACCAATTTCTGGAAGCCAGTATTTCTGGGTAAGATTTTAACATCCTTCTCCAGGCCCCCTGCTCCCCTGATGTTGCCAGTCTTTAACATGACACTGAAACTGTCAGCCTGACTTTACAGGGGAAAATCCAGAAGGAAAGTGCTGAGACCTGCTCTAGGGCAGAGGCAAAGCTGGGGGCAAGTCCACATTTCCCAGCCCTGGGCCATTATCACTGAATGAGCCGCCGTCCATTAGCCACCCCAGGGACAACAGCATCGTCCAGCACCTTCCAGTCACACGTCTGGGAAGTAAATGCTGATTCTCCCACCTCTGGAAAAAAGCACTTCACACTGCCTAATTTTCTTTTCCACTTGCTGTGTCTTGCAGCTGGATTACACAAGCTGCAGGGCTGCGGGAGCGCTGATGCCTGTGTGCGGACCCTCCTCCAGCTCTTGGAGGATGGGATGCACATCCACAAGCAGAGTCCCTTGGGGTTTTGCTTTCTCCGCCACCCATCTGACTTCCCCAGCCCCTCTAGCTCAGGCCCCTTCGCTGCTTTTCAAGCTCACGTTAGGACTCGCATTGGTCTCTGTCCCTCTCTAGTGGCTGTTGTATGGCCATGTCACAGGAGCTGCCGGGAAGGTTTTAACGGGATGGTTTTAGATGCAGAAATGCCAATAAAATGACATCAAATTCCAGGAGAACTGATTTTATCAAGCAGTTGTGGAAAATCATTTCAACATGACTTTCCATTCTGACAAAACCAGATCAACTCATCTTCACTGATGTGATGCTCACATTATTTTATGTGTGAGCTCACAAGACAGCACACCAGTTCAGGATGAACCAGTTCAGCTTTATCCCAGTGGAAGGTTTTGACCTGTCTGGAATGATTTGGTTTGGAGTTTCCCTTTCCGAGTGATTTTTGAAACATCAGTGTAGTTCACTGGTGCTGAGATGAAAGGGCGTTTCAGACCGTCAGAAAGGAAACTCCATTTTTTAGGTTGCTAAGCGGTCTGTTTGCAGTAGAGCTTTTACCATCAGGTTGGTTTTCTTGCTTTGAGTGTGGGGGGTTGGAGCAGAGACCCCCCCGAGGTCCCTTCCAGCCTGGGTTACCCTGATTCTATGATCTCTGGTTAGAGGACGCTTCCCTGTAACACGAGGCAGTCGTATTTCCATCCTCACACCATGCACAGGGGCAGAGAATTACCATTTCACCTGCAAACCCGTGCTGTAAGGGCCCAGCAACAGAAGGGAAAAGAAAACCCAAACCTCTACAGTGTAAAATACAATCCCATTCCCACCTAAGGCAAAGAGGGTTTGCATAGCAGACCGTTATATCACGCTCTGAACTCTGGCGTTGGTGCTGGTCACACAGAAGGGCTTGTCCCCATATTCCTGGAGGGAGGGGAGCTCTCCATCGTTCCCATACCTGCACTGTAGGTCGGGTCAGAGCATTTCCCCACGTCAACTGTGACCTCCCAGGGGGAGTCTGGAAAGAAGGTTTTCAGAGCTGGGAGACGGAGACATTCCTCGGGGCACGTGCTGCAGTGACAGCTGTCGACCACCTCCACCTCCC